CTCTTAAGTAAGGATAACAAGTGCAACAAAAAACTTTTAATGTAGAGTAAAAAGGTAGACTGTGAAACAAGACTTGATAGGGTGAGGCAAAGTTTAAAACGAAAGACATTCTATTAATTAGAAAAACATTTGTATCAACAACATTCCACCAAAATTGTAAAGACATGGACATATGTACAAGTAAAGTCTGTTTCTACAACATGTCTATGCGTTCTCTCACTCCTACCATTTTGTTGATGCACATAGGCACAAAAGTTTTTAAATTGAATTCCAGAATTAGAAAGGTAAGATATAAGTCCTCTATATTCACCTCCTTAATCAGATTGTAAACACTTAAGTTTTGTGTTAAATTATCGTTCAACTAAATGGTGAAACCTAATGAAAACTGACCTAACTTCACTCTTAGTTCTCAAAGGAAAGAGCCAGGTAAATCTGCTAAAGTCATCAATAAATTGAACATAGTATCTAAACCTTTCAAATGACACAATAGGCGTTGGTCCCCAAACATCACTGTGAACAAGTTCTAAGGGTGAGGCAACTCTTCATTGAGAAATAGGAAAGTTATTCCTATGCATTTTACCTAGGTAACAGGCATCACAAAAAGAGAGTGAAGATGAACCAGTTTTGGGTAATGAAGATGACACCTTAGGTATATGAGCCCTATTTTTTTTGAACACTTCATTGTGAGGATGTCCTAACCTTTTGTGCCAAACTAAAGCAAATTGTCACTGGTTTTACTAGTTTGAGACACTAGGACTGCAGGTTGTGACATATGTGTGGAAAAAATATTAGTTACAGAAGCAGAATTCAAATTGAAAACACATATATCAGGCAAAGTATCATGCAAAGTATATGATCAGGATGTAATGTGGCAGGAAAGCCATCAGCATAAAATTAGCAGAACTGACATTCGGATGCATATGATCAGAATTCGAATGCATGTGATTAGAATGAAATGCAGTAGGAAAGTTATCAGCAGACAAATTAGCAGAACTAACATTAGGATGCATATGATCAGAATTAGTAATAGTGTGTGTATAATCAGAATTTAATGCAGTAGAAGTAGGCACAGTATAATTAGACAAATCTTCAACTTTATTGATGAAAAAAGAGTTACAATTATTGATAATAGGCTCAGCACTACTAGATTTAGCAGCATTTTCAGTATATGACATAGATTTGGACTGAACAGAACTTGTTGGGACTGTATTGCAATAGGAACTAACAATATTATTATGAGTTTCAGAGCACAACTGAGCAGGAGACTTAGAACAAGCTAAAGAGGCATTAACTGAAGGAAATTGTGAAGAGGAAATAGAGATAGAAGACAAGTTCAACTAATACAATCCAGCCTTAAGATTTCCTTGCAGTCGCATTTGATTGGTAACCTTGTCTTTAACCACATAGCAATAAGCAGAAAATTCAACAACGACGTTATTATCCTTAGTAAGTTTAGAGATACTAAACAAATTTTTAGTTATACAGGGAACACATAAAACATTTTTCAGATATAAAAACTTGGATTGCAATGTACTCGGCAAAAGGGAAAAACCAACATGAGAAATATTGAGAAACTCACTACTGCTGACCTAAAGCTATTCAGGTCCATCATAGTTTCTGCTTACACTCAATTGGTTAAGATCAGAGGTGACATGATCAGTTTCTTTGGAGTCCATATACCAGGCTGGATCTTGAATTGAGGTTAAGGGAAGCTGAGTAGTGCCAAGAGAAACAGGGCTTGAATTTGTTAAAGGATTAGGAGCAGCAAAATAAGCTTGATTAGCAGTTGAGACAGGTGTTTGTTGACTAGGAATAGTGAAGGCTGAGGTGCATTTGCAACCAATTGTGAATGGTTAAAGTTTGGTACTAATTGCTATTGTTGTTGATAACCACCACCACCAGCAGTTTTGTACTTTTGATGTCCACCATATGGAGAGTTAGATGGATAGGTGGAGGTATTAACGTGTTGGTTAATTTAAGGAAGACCAGTACCAGCTTGATAACCTCCATGAACTTGACTACCAAAAGGTGGAGGAGAACCATTATAGTTTGAACTATATTGGTGGTAACACTACACTACAATGTGACCAATCTTATTGCACACCTGGCAAATAGGTTTTCCTTTTGGATTTCCTCTACCTTTATCTCGTCCAAAAGAAGAGAAACTAGATGGTCTGAAGTTTTGGTAAGGTACTCCATACTGCCCAATATTTGTTGAGGCATGAAACTGATCATTTAATGTAGAGATATTGGGAGAGGGAATTCCAATGTGTGAAGGATATTGTGATGCATGAGATGGTTGGGAACATTTGAAACATGTGGAGTGCTTGAGGGAAAAGTATTTGAGTTTGGTGTGTATTGATGTAGAGGAATAGATGGTGAGAGTACTAATGTCGGTAAAAAATTACCATGAATAGACTGGATACTAGAGTGCTAAGTACAGCCATATTGACAGAGCTATTAATTGAATTATTCAAAAAATCAGCTGAATTGAGCCTTTCAATCCTCATTTCATACTTCTGCAGTAGGTATTGTGCTTCTTGTAAAGTGATTGAATCAAATTTAGACTCTATCCATGATGTGAGGTTGATGATTACAATATCAAACTCAGGACCAAGGCCATTCAAAATAAATCCTAGTAAATCTTCATCAGAAATAACTTGGCCACTGGTAGACAAACTCTCAGCTATTCCCTTCATTCTTTTAACATAATCACTAATACTTAGATTTTCTTTCTAAGTATTTTGAAGTAATGTTTTTAAGTGAAGAGCCCTGGATTTAGAGTCATTTAGGAATTCACTTTCAAGAGTTAACCAAATGGTAGTAGAAGATTGGCATTTTGAGACAATTCTAAACATGCACCCCGAAATAGATGTTAAGAACCAAGTTACTAAAAACTTATCAGTTCTTTTCTAGGAAATGTAAGCAAAATTGACTTTCTCCTTTGACCTAACTTCACCTAATTCACTCGATTCTTCATGATCTGATGCAATTAAAGGTACGGTACAAGGAATCAAACCTGTCCAATGGTCTTCAAGTTCATGAGCTCTCACCGCTGAAAGGATTTGCGATTTCCAAAAGCGGTAATTATCTCTAGAGTTTTCTCTAGTTAATTTTGGAGTGACAACTTAAAGACTCGTTGGAAAGGCTGAGCAAAAGGAGCTGGAGAAGTGAATCATTCTTTTAGAGCTGGTGTTAGAGTGATTAACATCTAAGATCTTTGCCATTGACGTTAGTTGTTGGCTTTGATACCATGTGAGCTTAACAAATTGAGAGGATTTGATTTAGGGATTAAACATGAAAAGAAAACCGTTTCTCTATTGATCGAATTAATTACGAAAATACAGAGAAAGGTTTCTTTATATACAGTTGCATTTAGTAAAGTAAAATACTAGCTGCTTAAAGTGGAAGAAGCAAACTATTTGAGTCTTCAAAATGGCATCACTTTGGTCAAATTGTAAACAGACCATCAAACTCTAATTTTTGACTCTTTGGTCTACAGACACCCCCGATCACCAAAAAGAAAAGAGACCAAGGGTGAAGCTACATGCAGGCCTAGGGTGGCCACCCAGTCCCACAATTTTTTTTTTTTTTTTCTAATTTTATATAGAAAAGTATCATTTTTGTCCCTTTATATTTTTTTTCTAGTCACTCTAGTTTCTAAAATACACACTTTGGCCCCCATAATGTATCTTCCTGATGCCTCACTGACCCCTTCATTCATTCAACTTAAATTTTGGCCCACCAAAATAAATTTTCTGGCTTTACCCTAACTGTGACCAACTTATGACCTAGTTAAGTTCATCACAAATTGACCATAAAAACACCATCCCATAAAGTTTTTTACTATGAATTTTTGTAATTTCATGATGATTTTTTTACAGTATTGTAGACGTAAAAATCTACCTGTACGGAAAGGGGGGTCTGATCCCGTGAGGTTAAGGTCACTAGCGATCCGCTGCACCTGCACACGTAGAGAAACACACGCGTGAAGCGAACGGGAAACACCGGGGTGGTGTTTGCTGTAGGAACTCCGACGCTCAAGTCAGCAAGGCTGAAAAGGGCCAATATAGTGAGGGCTAAGGAATAAGAGATTACCGGAAGTCTAGTCGGGGACTGTGACTACGGCGAATCAGTGAAACTCTCGAGTAAAGAGTCTCGGGTGTGAAGTTGTAATGTCGATGTCCTTTGTGAGAGGGCAGGCCTCTGCTTATATAGTGGTCGTCTGGTCTCCCAATCCTGGTGGGATCAGGAGTCTTCATCTGACTCTGATGTAAACCCTAGGAGAATTAGGGTCGTGGTGAGTTGTCTTACCTGTGTCCAAATAGGAAGGTTACTCTGTTTAAGAGAATTCGCTAAGTAGGAAAGTGGTCAAAATTAAGAAGGCGTCTTTGAATTGGGGGTTGATTAGGAATAGGAAAGTACTGTGTCAGGGCTGTGGGCTCCGGATTCGTCCGTGGACCTAGGACATGGGCTAGGTTTGAGAGGCTTGTGCCCGCTTGACTTGGGCTGGTTTGGACCTTTGCAGGACTGGGCCTGGTCCGTCTTCGCTAATGGTCCTATTTCCCTATTTGGGCCAAGGACGATTTTTGGCCATAACAGTTTGTCCCCCACTCTCTGAGTTGAGTATCTCAAGTTAGAGAGTAGGTCGTGCTCAAGGCGAGCTCGTTCTTTCCCCATGGACGAGCGATCATTGGAGAAAGTTGACCGACGTAAGTGATTTGATTGGGTCTTGGTCGGTATCCATTCCCGAACAAGAGCATGCCGCCACGCGTTGTGCCTGATCGGTCCGNAAGCTTGTTTTGGTGCATTGAAGTTGTTTGAACTGCATTACGGAATTTTGCTTGTTAGCATTATTTTGGAGTTCTGGGAAGTGCTATCTGTCTATTGTGGAGCAGTTGGCGTTTGAAGTTGCTTGAGCTGCATTAAAACCTGCTGGAACAGTTTGCATATTCTGGTGCAAACCTGTAGACCAATTTCTATCTGTAGACCAATTGCTTATGAGCTCCACAAAGGCAGCCAGTGAATGGTACAGCAAGGAAATGATGCTTGGTTCAAGAGTGGATATTGGAGTAGTTGGTAACAGTAATTACTGATAGAAGTTTTGTTTAAGGGAGGATATCAGGATATTAAAGTAGTCTGGGATTTACTGATTTACCCTTACTTTGTATTATAAAAAGCTTGTAACAGTGACAGTTATTTGATTAACGAAAATATCAGTCTTCTTCTTCACTTCCCCTGTTTCTTTTCAGCTCACCAGGTTTGCATTTCCTCTCTAAATCAACTTTACAGAAGGAAGAGAGGAGACCTATAAGGAAAAGATTGAAGTAGATGACCAGAAGAAATCCGTAACTCTTGTTGGATTGGATGGAGATGTGTTCAAGAATTACAAGAACTGGAAGGCAACATTTCAAGCCACTCCAAAGGATGAGAAAAGCTGCGTGGTGAAACATATTCTGCAATACGAGAAATTGAATGAGAATGTTCCAGAGCCACATGCGTACCTAGATTTCATGGTTAAAGTTACTCAAGACATAGCAGCATATCTTGTCAAGCAGGCTTAGAAGAGCTCAAATGACTACGTTTGTCGATTTTACTATGCATAACTACTCTTTATAATGTGCAATAATTTACCATAATGTTTACTTAAAACCGACTAGTAAGTTGGTTTAAAGTAATGTGTGAGATTGTGTGAGAGATCTTGTGACGAGAAAATTATATAATATAATAAATGTTGTGATTAATGGTGTGATAAACATGTTTCATAGGTTGGTCACTTGGTTGTTTGCTTGGTGGTTTCTTCCTATATCTGTTTTACTTCAGTAACATTAGAGGTATAGGAAAATGAAAGAAAATTATTTTAAAAAAAAAAAAAAAAAATCAAGAGACGAACTATTATTTCAATTTTTGCTTCTAAATTATTATATATAGGATGAGAACATGTCGTCGAGATATATTACGTCCAGTCCATCCACGTGGAGCTCTTGTTTTCACATGACTCAAGATCTTGAAAAGAAAAGAAAATCCTAATTCATTTGGACCTACTCTATAATAAGTCATTATTTTTTAGCAGGTGAGAAGTTTGAAAGTCTGTTGAAACATTCATTTGCCATTGCTCTGTCAAGCTCTGGACTTTCACTGCATGTATATTTGCCATTGCTAATTATGGTATCTTTATAAATTCTTTTATAAAACTGATTATATTACAATTAAAAAATTTAGTCACTTTCAGTTTATCAGACTCTTTTGAACGCTAGCTTAAGATAATAATCTTTAAGCTACAGCAATGGGAAACATGGACTGACTTAGTTTTTATTTTAATGGTCTTATATATTAATTATATATATGAAATTAACAGAAGGAAATGCTGCTGAGAGGATGAAAGAAAGGGTAGAATTAGACCCAGGAAAAAAAAAAAAAAAAAGAGGATCACTATGGCTGTGATGGAGGGAGGTCTGATGCAGCATTACAAGAGCTACAAGGCAACAATTCAGGTTGTTTCAAAGAGTGAGGGAAGCTTGGTGAAATGGAATTGGGAATATGAAAAGCCACAAGAAGATGGTCCTACTCCAATCAAATTTACGTGGATTTTGTAACTAATCTCACTAAAAACATCGATGCAAATCTTCGAAAGGAGGAGTAAGATTGATGCATTTGTTGGACATAAGGCAACAATATAGTGTCGTTCACAGCAATAAAGGCTAAAACACAGTTTTAACATTTACGAGACATTGATGAACATAAAATCCAATGTCCACAGTAGAGAATTTCTTGTCTGGATGATAAGTAAATTCCGAAGAGTTCTATATAAAAGATTTATGGAATGCACAATTGATCGAGTGAAGAATCTCCACTTAGGTAGCTCTAGAGCGCAGCAGCTGCACTTTTACTGTCCTTATGTGGTTCATCTTGATATAACTGTGCTTTGTCAAAACGCATCATTTTGGCTAACAAAACTAACGGAAACCCTTAACACTGTTAGACATAAACTAACTTTAACAGCTTTTTCTAACTTTGCTGTTAATGTATCCGTTGCCCAACTTGACTGATCTTCAAAAATCATAACTCAAAACAGAAAGCAGCAACATTCTTTTCTATAATTCGTCATTTTTCAAGTGTTTAATACCACATTTCCCCTGAGGTTTCCTTAAATGATAATTTCGCCCTGAGGTATCAGAAATAACAATTTACCTCTTCATGTCACTGATCTGTTAGGTTTTCCTTACTTAATTAGCATATTTTTAACTTAATCCGTTATATTGTATAGCAAAATCTGACGGTAGACTTTTGTTAAAGGATAAATTTTGAATAATTTTGGTCCAAACCTTTATTAAAATTTTGAAAATTAGAAAATTCACTCATGAGAATTTTTATTAATGTGTGGTTATACTTCTAATTTTTAGGAAACTGTTGAAAAATAAATTCTAAATTTTTGTTTATTGCTTATAATTAATACCAAATGAAGAAGTTTGTTTATATTTTTCTTTTCCGGAGCTAAAAATATTTTCGTTTCAACAGAAAGGTATCTATATCGGCAACTTATTACGTACCCACAAGATAGAAGATATAATATCAACTCTAAAATATAAATCATTGTCTCAAACATTTAATGTAATATAACATATATATTTTTATAATATACATACAATTATTACTATGTAGAGGCAAGTTCTTTAAGATGAGACATAAAAAAACTATAACTTATTATAATGTGAAATTTATTCTTATTTATAACTGGCCTAAGTTGGATCCAAAATTTTTTATGAATACATGAAGGTTATTCCTTTATAGAGTATCACTATAACGAAGTTCTACTGTATTAGATAACCCTAAGGGGTTGGTCAAACAATCAAAGAAGTTTGCTTCATTCTTTAAGTTTCTAGGTTTAAACATTGAGGTCACCTATCTCAATAACATTGTGGTTTAATTACTTGATCCTTTGGGTTTGTAGGGTCTTCAATGGACTACAGGGATTAATAAAAGTGTATACAAGCTAACTGGACACCCAAGATTGATATATGCTCCAAATCATTATCTCAACCAGCCTTCTTAAAGCAGAAACATGATCTCTGACATAATTGCATGAAATTCAGATTCAATTTATTTGATAGGTTTGTGAGACCCACAAAATTAAATATATTAGATGGTTTTATGGATATAGAGAATAGAAAGTGTCGGCAGTAGATTTAAACAGATTACAAATCGTTTTGAGTGGGACGTTATATAGATACGGGAGCAGATTTTGTTGTATAAAATATGTAGAAATTGCAATTTGGAAATTAAATCAAGCGACAGGCATGATACAGTGAAATAGACGAAAGTAGAAACTAGAAAGAATTTTGGAAATCGTGAACTCCTCACAAACTGATTTCTTAATTGAAACAGTAGAACATACAGTGAGTACTTTATACAAAGAAGACACTATGCAAAACCAAAACGACACAGTTTTAGAGCTGTGATCACAGTATTAGGAAATTACAATAAGGACCTTCATAGTTTGTCCTTTTTCACATTTTGGTTAACATTCCCCCTTAAACTAGACTCTCCTTTGCTCTTGCTATCCCTTTGCTGCACTTTTTGTGAGTTCTGTTTTTGTATATCATTTTCCCTTCAAAAATTGGAACAAATTGTAAACTGCAATGCTTCAGTAAAAGCAACAACTTCAACACTTTAATAAACCATTTAAATGCTTCAGTAAAAGCAGCAACTGCAACACTTTAATAAACCATTTCAACGCTTTAGTAAAAGCAGCAACTTCAACACTTTTATTAACCATTTCAATGCTTCAGCAAAAGCAGCAACTTCAACACTTCAGTGAACCATTTCAATGCTTCAGCAAAAGCAGCAACTTCAACACTTAAACAGCTATTTTAAAAGCCACTTCAACTATAGTGCATTTCAATTACAGAGCAGTCATTTCAACTACCATTAGCAGTCATTTCAACTCCCATTTCTACTACAAAACACCCTTTCCATATTCAACTTCAACTACCATTTCCACTACAAAACACCCTTTCCATATTGATTCACCACCACTATTGCTACTTTAGATTACCACATTTCAACTTAACACAAAACTTCAATAACACAAAACTACTACTACTGCAACTTTAACACAAAACTACTACTGCAGAACAGTTGCAACAATCACTTCTCAATACAAAAACTACTACTTTAGATTACCACATTTCAACTCAACACAAAACCTTCAACAGCCACTTCAGTTCACCATATTTCAGTTCATGCACACAGGCAGCATTAAGCACTATTTTTACCACTACAAGTCACCATTTTTCAGTTCATACTCACAGGCTGTGGAGTGTCAACAACACAAAGTTTCTGTTTCAACTCTTGAAATTGAGTAATAGAGAGGGCTTTGGTTAACACATTAGCAATCTGCAGTTTTGAAGGAACATAATGCACAACAATTTTTTTTGCTAAAACTTGATCCCGAATATAATTAGTGTCAATCTCTATATGCTTTGTCCGAGCACGAAAAAGGAGATTAGAAGCTAAGGCACCAGCGCTTACATTATCACACCAAATTACTGGACAAGAATTGAGAGATATTCCCAACTCAAAAAACAGACTTTCCAGCCATGCCAATTCAATTGCTGTATGTGCAAATGTTCTATATTCAGCTTCAGTAGATGATAAGGCAACCACTCTTTACTTTCGGAAGCTCCACTGAATCAAATTTGGCTCAAGATATACACAGTATCCACTGGTGGACCTCCTATCATCCGAGTTACTGCCCCAATCAGCATCTGCATTGCATTCAAGGTGAAGAGAAACTGCTGGTCTGAACTGAAGACCATGAGACTGTGTTCCTTTAAGATATCTCAAAACCCTCTTGCAAGCTTGCCATTGTAGCTCAGTAGGGGCTTGAAGGTATTGACTTAGTTTATTGACTGTAAAACTAATATCAGGCCTTGTTAAGGTTAAGTACTGAAGAGCACCAATGGTACTTCTATACAAACTGGGGTCTTTAAATAACTCACTATCTGTGGCTGAAAGTTTTGTACCAGCAGCCATGGGAGTGGAGCAGGAATAGGCATCTTGCATCTTAGTTTTGACAAGCAAATCAGTAACGTATTTGGTCTGCTTCAAGTGAATTCTCTCATGTGTTCTAGTTGCCTCCAAACCAAGAAAATAGGTCACTGAACCAAGTGTTTTCAAGGCAAACTGAGTATTTAAAGTTTCAATTAGTTGTAAAATGGAAGAAGTGTTGGATCCAGTAATTGTTAGTGATTCTTGGTGAAAAACAGAGCTGTATGGATTAAAAGGAAGTGTTTGTCATAAAATGAAGAGTTGATGGTCTTCTTGTAATTTGTCTTTTGCTTTGTTTGTAACGATGTCATTTTGCTCTTGATGGTTTTTACATGGTTTGTAACAACACTTCAGCAACTTTACTTTTAGCTTATCTTCTTCAGCTCTTTTTGCTTAAGCTCGTTTTGGAGTATAAAGCATGAGTTGATTGTAACTGATCTCAATTAATGAAAAACCAATTGAGATTCTTCTCTCTTTCATCATCTATTCTTCTTTGAGATTTACATGGTATTAG